CAATAGCAGAGCTAGAGCAGAACCCACAGGTTTGGGCTTTGGCATCCTCAAATCCACCTACACTTGGCAAACCCGGGGGCAGGGATGCTGCTCCCCACACAAATCCTGGGATTCTGTGTCCCTGGAGGTGTGCCAGGCCAGGCTGGATGGGGCTTGGAGCAGCCTGGGCTGGGGGAAGGTGTCCCTGGCACTCGGAGCTTCCTCCAGGTTGGCTTGGGCTCACCTTGAGTCCAGCAGCAGTATTGATCTCCTCGGGTGGGTTTGAGCACACTCCTGGCTTAAAATAGCACCAGGAATGCAGGAGGAAAACAGTGTTTAACCCTTGGGGCTGCAGCAGCCCAGGCTGAGAGATTCCTGCAAACTGCCCTTTGCAATTAGCAAGTGCAGCAATCCTAGCTGGTGCAGCACTGAAATGCCTTTGCTGCCTCCCCTGAACAGCCAGTCCATGCTCTGCATCGGAGCTGCCTGTGGATAATTCGGGTTTAATATTTTATACTTCTAGGCTCAATTATAGGAATAGTGAAAATATTGATTATAGATAAAGTTATGTCTTTATAGTGTCTGAAATCGTGGTTTGATCCTCCTCAGCTGGGCTTGCCTGCAGCAGCCCAAGGACTGTGGAAACAGCACAAATAAAGATGGTAAAACTTCCCTAATGAGGAGGGGAATATTCCAGTTCGGAATTGCCAGGCACAGGAGCTGTCAGGGCTTTAACTTCCTGCTGTGCTGCCAGGTGTGTCTCCAGGGTGGGCTGAAAGGGCTTCCAGGGAGAAATTCCCCCAGTTCCCGTTGGGGTTGGCCCTTCCAGGCAGGAACTTCATCTCCCATGGAGAGACATCCCAGGGCCCTTCTCTGCGAGGCCAGCTGAGGGAGCTGTGGATGTAGGAATGGCTGCACTTCCAGGCAGTGCAAATACTTCTAACAGGAGGTTAGTACTGAGTAACCCCAATTTTTGTAAGGTTGGACACAGTATTTTCCTCGCTCCTGCATTTTCCTCATGGTCCTGTTATTTGTACTAGAAACACACTGTGATTTCTTGGTACTTTCCTCACTTGTGATTCATTTTGAGAGAGTCCTCACGCCTCTCTGTCTTGAGCAAATCACTTACAATATGTTCTCTGTTCCCAAGTGTGTATTTTGTGCACAGAATGCTGTGCCTGAATCCCAGTTATGACATTTAACTCTGGGGTGTAACTGCCACCCCGAGCTGTGTTGGGTGACTGTTGGTGCTGTTTGCAGCAGGGCTGGACATGGGTTTGGTGTGCCAGGACCCTCCTGGGTCACATTGCCAAGTGATAGGTGGGTCTGTCCCCCTCGTGTGAGGCTGTAGTAGGTCCTGCAGCACAGGGTACTCCTTATCTGCACCTGCTAGTAGCCATGGAGTGCCTGGGCACATCCACCTCCCGTAAAACCGCTCTCTGCCTTAATTCAAATCCATTGATTCCTCTTCCAGTTAAACCTGGAGAACTTAATTTGGCTTTTAATCCTTTTATTGTAAGCTGGGATAAAATTAATTTTACCCCAGAAGTGTGCAAAGCCAATTAAGAGGAGCTTGGAGTGATTGAGTAAAGTGCTCCAAAGTGTTAACTGCAGCCTGACCTGGTGGCTGCACTCTGCGTTCAGCGATCGATACCCAACAGCCTCTGCAGCCCTCAAATTTGGGGAGCTCTACCTGCCTTTGCCACACTGCATCAATGTGCTTCGTGCTGTCTGCCCCGAGCACCTGGGGGGGTTGAGCTTCAGAGTGGAGATATTTGGGGGTGTTCAATGTGGTTATTTCCTCTGCGGCAGCACACGATGGATCGGTTTTCCTTGGCCTGAAACTGGGATTTTTAGCACTAAACCCCAGGTTTTTGTCCTTTCAGCACTGCAGCTTCTGTTTTCCACCTAGACCTATTTGGGGTTATTAATTTTCTGCCTGTGATAGGGTGATCAACCGTCCTGTCAGGAAAATGGATCTGTGTGTCAGCCGTTCGCATGATTAAACGGAGGCACAGCGCGGGCAGAAAATACCAAATCCTCGTGGCAGCCAAAGGGACTGCTCACAGGGGCATTATTCCAGAGGAAATTCTCACAAATCTGGGGGGCTTCCCCTGGTAATTAGTACAAAATAGAGATGCAAATACTTAAGGCTTTTTCCCCTCCTGTTTAAGGGTTTTTCCTCCATCCAGAGGTTTGCAGGGGAGGGTTGGGATTTTAGTGTGTTGGAGGGGTTTGGATTGGTTGGTTCTTAATTTCTTGGGGATTTTGTGGGGTTTTTTGGGCATGTTATCTTTCTGAGGTAGGAAATCCTCCACTGCATCAGCAAACAGGACCAAACTGTCACATCCCGGATTGCTGGTGAAACAGTGTGGATATTTCCCACCCTGTCCTGGTTGGAATTTGTTGTTGGGTTAACAAAGAGTGATCTCCTGGACATCTGGGGCTGGAGCAGCAGGAAGGAGCTCAGCCCCAGTCCCCAGCCCAGGTCTGGGAGCTTTCCCAGTGGATCCTGTGTTAATTGTGGATGAGGCATATCACTGCCTCCGTCCCTGGGAGTGTTCCAGGCCAGGCTGGATGGGGCTTGGAGCACCCTGGGCTGGTGGAAGGTGGCCCTGCCCATGGCAGGGGGTGGGATGGGATGAGCTTTGAGGTCCTTCCAACCCAACCCATTCCATGATTCCCCCATTACCAGGATGCTCCTAAATCCACCTCCAGCACCCACCGAAGGGTTAACTTCAAATGTCTGTAACCCAGCGATGGCAGGAGGGGGAGGGCACATGCAGGGGGTTAATTTCCTACTGGAAGCAGCACGTGTGTTGGCTCTTCCATTCTGGGGTCAGTGCCTGCTATTGATCACAGCTGCCCGGGCTGGGGGTCCTGGACTGCTCTGGGGACACCTGGGTGGGTGGGACAGAGGTGTGACATGCAGTGGGATGTGTGCAGTGTGTCCTGGTGGGCTAAACGGCTGTTGGATAATCCCAACTGTTCCTTCCCTGCTTTGTTCCAGCCCATTTTCATCCTTCTTCCTCCGAAGGCAGTTGCTATTGATTTTTTCCTTCCCTCTTTTTTTCCCTCCCTTCCCATTGTTAAGCTTTCCCTTGTTTTCCTCTTCCCTTTGGCCGGCAGGGCTGCCTGCCCACAGCTCCTGAAACAGCTTCCCTGTTTTCCTGCAGAGCCCCGTGAATGTCATTAGTGAGACAACCTGTGCACCTCATTAATTCTCCCTTCGTTAAGCTGTGAGCTTGATGAGCCTCAGCCAGGTGATGCCTTCTGACTGCTCAGCAAACAGCACTTCCAAGGATGGAAACTTCCTTATTGATGTAGGATAGATGGGAGGGAATTTCCTGGGAATTCAAATGTGGGTAAAAGTGAACTCTTTGTCACAATAAATGTGAAGGTTCCATTCCAGTAATTCCTTCTAAGATTTTGGGGGTTTTACTCCAGGAAAACCAAACTCCCTGAGCTTAGTGCAGTTCAGAATCCCTGGATTGTGTTAAACTGATGATATATTCCAGTTTCATTTGAAGTTCAGCATGGTGATGTTTTCCCCAATGTTAAAATGCCATCTGCACCATTTTGCTGCCTAAAAATACCAGTTTGGTCTAATGAAATGTACTGGTATCCTAAAATTTAGCAGGATGTGAGGATGGATCCTAAACCATGAAGATGCTTTTATGTAACATGCAATGCAGGTAAGTTATCCCCAAAAATGCATCTTCTAAAAACAGTAAAAATCCCAAGTTGGTGTTTTGAAGAGAAACAAAACTCACTAGACAAACAGAATCCATGGATCTCTGATCGCTGAGCAAACCAGACTAGGGAATTGGGCAGTTTTCTGGCATCTTTTCCCCCCAGGAGTTCTTGGCAGGTGCTGAAGGAGATATTTGGATTCTATCACACGTTGTAGGTTTTCAGGAGCAAAGTGGAACCATGTCCATCAGCCCAAACCCTGGACAGGGCTGCAGCTCTTTGTTTCCTCTGGAGCACCGTGGGGAATGTTGAGCCCTGACCTCTGTGCTCTCTGTGCCCACAGGATGTCTCTCTGGGCTGCCCCAGACGAAGAAGGTCTCCACGTCGTACGAGGAGAGGAGGAAACAAGCCACAGCCATCGTCCTGCTGGGTGTGATCGGGGCCGAGTTCGGGGCAGAGATCGAGCCCCCCAAGCTGCTCTCGCGCCCGCGCAGCTCCAGCCAGGTCCCCGAGGGCTTCGGGCTCACCAGCGCCGGAGCCAACTACTCCCTGGCCAGGCACACCTGTGAGTGCCTCAGGCTGCTCCCGGGGGTGTGGGGGTAACTGGGTCGCTTAAATTACCTCCTCCCTGCAAAAGAGGAGGATTAGGAGCTCTGAATGCACAATCAGAGGTTGCCAAGGAATCGGGGCGGATGGAGCGAGCTGCTGGAATTCTGACAGCCTTTGTGCTCCTCCCAGGTAAACCAGAGCACTTAGACTGCATTTAATTCATTTGGTCGTATTTGTCTTACTTATATCCCACCCTGCCGTGGGCAGGGACAGCTCCCACCAGCACAGGATGCTCCAAGCTCCATCCCACCTGGCCCGGAGCACTTCAGGGATGGGGAAATCCATTCACTACCTCCAGGGTGTTCTCTGTGTTCCAGTGACACACAGCTGTGGTCGTGCCTTTTGGAGGGGCTGGAATGCGCCAGGAATTGCTGCTGGACCCTTGCCTGACACCCTGCATCAATCCCTGGTGCCCTCACAGCTTATTCCCAGAGCTATTCCGTGATAAAATGCCACCCAGGAATTGCTCCGTGCAGATGTCCCACGTCCCCCCAAAACTGCAGCTGATGCTGTGTTTGTGGAGTTAATGGGCTGAGAAATGTGCCTGCTCTGTGCTGGATATGGAAATCCTGCCCTCCATGGATAATTCAGTGGGTTTTCCAAGCAGCTGCCATGGCTGCAGTTATTAATGATCAGCTCTTTGCCCTTTAGCTCCGGCAGTGTCGGAGGTGACAGCGTGTTCACGGCGCTGAGTTATTTATATCTCTTGCACATTGACTCACCCCTCCTTCCAGAGGGAATTTTAGGGGCTCCCAGATCCCTGCAGTCACTCCAGCTTTACTGGTTAAATCAGCAGTTGGGCTCCTAACTCAGATCTGTGTCCCAGATTTCTGGGCAGAAACAGCTCCTCAGCACCTCCCTGCAGCCAGTGGGTGCCTTTCCAAGCCATGGGTTTGCCTTCACATCATTCCCGTTGCTCCTGGGGCCCTGCCTGTGTCTGCAGGAGCCCTGCAGAGCTTTCCCAATGCCTTTTGCTGCGGTTTTGGGCACACATTTGAGTTCTGCCCCCAGCAAGGAGGAGAACGCCCCGTGAGGAGCAGGAGGAGGTGGATCCCTGCTCAGGGCAGTCCCAGCCAGCAGCAGTTAATCCATGGAGTGCTTCCAGGGCCATAAATCAGCACAGCACCTCCTCAGTGGCCTTTCAGAGCAAATTAGGCAAACCAGCTCGGTGGCTTCATCTAACCACCCCAAACCAACAGCCTGATAAGGGAAGTGGCTGTGGGTGTTGCTCCTCACAGCCCCTGCTGCCCTGGAGCCTGATTTTGTGGTGGATGCACAGGGAGCTGCTTTCCATGGATCCAGGGGCATCATCCTCCTTGGTTAGGTGGCCACACTGAAGTTCAGTAACCCACAGCTTTTTGCCCTCAGCTGCTGTGCTGAGATCTGTGTGCATGGAATGACATTTTGGGAATCCAGTGGGTTCTGGGCATGGAAAATAAGGGATAAGCTTTGCTGTTTAGTCCCACGTTGTTAATAAAATGATACAGGGATGAAATGTGCCAGCCCAGAATGCAACACTAGGAAAAATTAGTATTTCAATAGCAATTTATCCCAGAATTTTATTCCCTGATCACCATTCCTGCCCGAGGTGATTGTACCCAGTGAGTCACACTCAGTTTTTGTGGAAGGAGCTTTGCATTTGTTTCCCTAGGACTTCTGTAAGAGAATGTGAATGGAAATCAGTGAGATCCAGGGATTCCCACCATGCCAAGCCCCCCCAGCCCCACTCCACAGAGCCTTCCCAGGGCTAATTACCTCGTCCCTGCGCTGACTCTAATGTGACATGTTTATTGCCCTAACGAACAACTCATTAGCTCCCGTGATGTTTTTGTCAATATTAATTCCTCCATTTAAGCCAAGTCAGAGCTTTAAACAAAGATGTCCTGGCTGAGCAACGGGTGAGTTTGGGGTGGTCCAACTCCTGCTTCCCCTCGGGTGGGTGTCAGCAGGAGGATTCCCTGGGAAAGGTGGGAATATGTGACTGGAGCAATGGCCAAGGAGTCACGTTTGCAATGAGGTTTTATGTCTGAGACATAAAGTCAGTGCAGGAAGAAACTTCTGGGGGCTGTTGAGTGAAATGATTAGTGTTCCCTCAGTGTGCAGGGCCTGGATCAGGATTCAGGTCTGTTGTTCTGGACAACTTTCCCCACATTCCTTTGAGCTCTGTTTATCACAAGTGGTTCAGAGCACCCTGGGCTGGTGGGAGGTGTCTCTGCCCAGAGTGGAATGAAATGATCCTTAAGGTCCCTTCCGACCCAAACCATTCCACGCAATATTTGTGGGTAACACACGGTTTGAAATGCCACCTGCGATAAGGAGCTGCCCGAGGCTGTGTTCATTCCATGGATGTGTTTTAAGTGTGGATTTCTTCTGGCTTTCCCCCCACCAAAGTCCTTTCACTGCTATTTCTTTTGCAGTGTAAATCGTTTGACACTCAGCTCTGGCACAGGTTGCCCAGAGAAGCTGTGGCTGCCCCATCCCTGGAGGTGTCCAGGAGGGGTTTGGAGCACCTTGGGCTGGTGGGAGGTGTCCCTGCCTGTGGGGTGGGGTGAGATGGAACCCTGTGCTCCCGCACAGCCAGTGTTTAGCCCCAGGGCAGCCCAGTGCTGCAGCTGTCCCTGACCTCCTGTGTCCCCTAGGCAAGGCTCTGACGTTCCTGCTGCTGCAGCCCCCCAGCCCCAAGCTGCCTGCACACAGCACCATCCGCAGGACAGCCATCGACCTCATCGGCCGCGGCTTCACCGTCTGGGAGCCCTACATGGACGTGTCAGCCGTGCTCATGGGCCTCCTCGAGCTCTGTGCTGATGCTGAGAAGCAGCTGGCCAAGTGGGTACCTCGTTTACTCACCCTCCGACACCTCCCCGTGTCAGTCCCAACCTCTGCATCCAGGGTTTGAAGCTGCTGGTTCAGATCCCCAGCCTGTGGCGCTTGGCACGAGGGAGGGACAAGTTAAGCTGAAGGAGGGCAGGGTTAGACTGGATATTGAGGAGAAATTTTTACTATGAAGGTGCTGAGGCTCTGGCACAGGTTGCCCAGAGAAGCTGTGGCTGCCCCATCCCTGGAGG